GATTATGGTATAACTAGATTGTAGGCTGCCCGACGAGGGAGGGGTGGGTCACAGGGCTACTGCTGCAAGTGACATAGTACCTGTGGGTCCAGGTCGAGATATCATCCGCTTCTCCCTTCCCAGGACCGAGGCAGGCTTGTAGGCCGCAGAATAAGTACAGGTCATAGAACACGAGGGTAGGCTCCAAACTCGCAGGTGAAGAGCTCACTCATGTACATGACCCAGCAGAAAGTCACTTAAGTTAGGGATGAGGGTGGAATCCTCCTTTGGTTGCAAGGTATATCAGAAGTGAGGAGCACTCTCTGCACGTCTGGCAGCCATGCTGGTCAGGCCCCGCCCCCGATCATCATGATGTTTACTATGAAGAAGATAGCACTTGGTCATATCTAACAGTTTGCCAATAGTGGGTGCTTCAGTCTTTTACCTTAAAATGAAGAATTTTAAATGGCTCAACTCCAATAAGATTTGATGACTGTTTAATTCTTCCAAAGATGTTCCAGATGTTGGTTACCTGATATGTTTAAAATGTACATTCTCACTTGACGGTATTCTGTAAGGTAAAATATTACTAGTCACGTTTAGGGTTAAGGTGTGCATTAAAGCATGGAGAATTAAGAAATTTAGGGATAAGTTGAGGGTAACGATCAGATCTCAGCCGGTTACAAATAACACCGGCAATGATTCAAAATTCCTGTTCTTTGTCAAGCTTGGGCTGTAAACACTACACACAAACATTTAAAGATCAAAGTGCGTCTTGGGCCTTATGAGTCCAAAGTATTTGTATAAATAAGAGAGATTGGTCTATGCCGAATTGACAGATTTCCTCTGACACAACAGCAAATTATGATGATAATTATTCTTATGGTTTTTCGGTGGTAAACCTCGCATAGGCTAAATATACAGATACAATAGCCATAAATGCTTTCTGCTTTTTCTTTTAATTTAGCACATATAGCATTATGACTGATGGTTTTCCTTTTGTTGTCAGAACATGGGAAAAGCAACACGATCCTATCAAAGTTTAATATATTGACTGGAGTGAGTTGAATGTTGTGTCCCTTGTTGTGGAACAAATGCTGAAGTATGTATTCAATACAGGAACATAGAATCCTGAGACCACTTTTATTATTTATTAATGAAAATATAATGCAATCTATAGCTTGTGTATTTTCAGAATTCCCAACCAGAATAAAAATGGTGAATACTGAAGCACTTAAATATTGTAATAACAATATCGCATAAACCATTACACCATATTAGGAAGAGAAATACGATGTTGCAAGACAAAGGCTACAGATAAGATTGTGTGTTAATTAAAGATCTAGAAGGATGAAAGCTTTAGAAGGATGTGTGAGCGGAGATAGAAATGAGAGAAGCCCATAGACATTTCTACGTTTGATTTTTCCTTTTATGAAATCATGTAGAGGTGCTACAAACATATTGTATTGACAGAGATGAGAAGATATGAAAAACCCAGCAAGCACATCGAAAACGAATGTAGGATCACCAATAAAGATTGAGTGTCAGCCTTATATTGACATTGCCGGAATTAAAATCTACGACTAAACCAGACATCGTAAAGTAGTATAGTCATTTTAACTCTAGAAAGCCAAGGTGTAGATATTACTTGGAAGGATGCTAAAACATTTTGGGACTGCGTGCAAAGCATGCTTGTTCGTGCTCACAGTGAATATTTTTAGGCACAGTACTGCGCCCAGACTGTAATGAATTTGAATGTATTATTATATTTTTGGGTACTTTACATGTATACAAGTGCCAGCAGTTTAGTTTGCATATGATGTGAATTGAAATAAATATGGAAGGCTGTGAACCGGACTTTCATAGTTTAAGTCACTTTTTATGTGATTGCATAGTCTTCCAAATCATTGGTGTTTGGACCTGGGCTCCAAGTGTTTATTACCTAAAATATATGATAGCTATACACAAACTGTTTTCATTGCTTGCAGGGGAGTAGCTACATTTTTTGGTCCAATCAGAACAGCAGATTATAGAAGTAATAAAATAACTCCAGAGCCAAAGAAGATTATTTATATTTCTCTTTACTTATATATTGTGATATCACATAGAAACTGCTGCCCATGGAATATTTGTGTAGACCATGTACTATTTCATTTAGATCCGCACAGCCTGTCAGTGATATTTAATTTTCAGAAGAATAAATAACTGTCTAATAAAGGGATGTCAATATTAGGCCCAAACACAACAGATTTTCAGCATATAACTGAATGTTGATTGTTTTAGTTAAGGTTGTTTAAACAAATCTGAAAACTCTGGCAGCGTTATGGCTCTTGAGGACTGAGACTGACATCCCTGTTTAAGTTGTTTTATTAGCTGAAAACATAGGATTACTGAGTCGTATACCGGTGGGATTGCGATGTTACGGACATGTTTATGCCAAAGAGTGTACCTATCCATACAGGCTGCATATTAATTAGACGGCCTTATTGATTAGGCAAGTGAACCTATCCTGCCATTTAGAATTTAAACAGAATGCGCTTTCCCTTGGCTTGATGGTAATCCCCCACAGTTTGCAAAAAATTCCCACTTAATGCTTTATTTTCATAAAAAGAAAAATGACTAATGGGACACCATAACCACCAAAACAACTTTGGTTTAATGAAGCAGTTTTGTTGTATAGATCATGCACCCACAGTCTCACTGCTTAATTATTTTGAGTTAAATCACTTTGTTTATACAGCCCTAGTCACACCTCCCTGCTGGTAATGTTCACAGCCTTCCTAAACACTTACTGTAAAGTGAGATCTAATGTTTAAAATTCCTTTTTGCAAAGTTTACTAAATTTAGAATTTCTTATCTCATGCTCTGTTAATAGCCTTCTAGTTCAATACATATAAAGCAAGTTAACATCTGTTTGAAAATGAAACCTTTTTTTATGCATGCTTTGTGAGACACAGCCAGAGAAGGTGTGGCTAGAACTGTTTAAACAGAAACAAAACAGATTTAACTCCTAAATAGCTGAGAATTAGGTAGGGAGACTCAAGAATAGTGATGTCCCGAACGGTTCGCCACGGACGGCGAACATATGCGGTAAACTTTGACCCTGTACCTCACAGTCAGCAGACACATTCCAGCCAATCAGCAGCAAACCCTCCCACCTCCTGGACAGCTCACTAAGAATGCAGCTTCACAATGAATGTAAAATGGATGCTGTCCAGGAGGTGGGAGGGTCTGGGAGGGAGGGTCTGCTGCTGATTGGCTGCTGACTGTGAGGTACAGGGTCAAAGTTTACCGCATATGTTCGCCATCCATGGCAAACCGTTCGGCGAACCGTTCGGGACATCACTACTCAAGAAGCATGATCGATACACTTCCATGAGCTAAGTTGTTTGGTATAGTGTCCCTTTACCTGTCTAGGGCAACAATTGCTGTTTTTGGCCTTGTTGGTACTTGTAAACTACATTTTAAATGATGTCAGCCAGTCTTTAAGACAGGTTTAAGCATCACAGGAAATGTAGTTCACGAACATCTGCAATTTAATTTTAGACCTCATTATGTAGAGCTTACCTTTTGCTATAGCACTTTGTCACACTGACGCTGGCAATAAAACATCATCTATTTTAGGATCACTTGTATATACCGAAAAGATATCTGTATAAATCCTACCGATTTTCCTAGAGTATACACTTTTATTCTATCACTAGTTACACTTACAAAATATTCCCACTGTACTTAGTGGCTCCTGCTTATTCCTGCTCAGGTATATACTGTGAGGGTATGGTGTTCTCAGGGAATCAATAACATTGAAATGGATTGAACTTCCATTTTCAGTAGATATAACCCTCTCCTTTCCTCAGTAATTAGTTGCTCTCTCTCAATGCCCATATTCCATAAACTCTTCCTCCTGCCATAATCCTGTATCAATTATTATTTATGCCAGGTATCCCTTTGCTGTATCTTACATCCCTCTATATCTGGCTAATGGTGTGATCTAAGAATGGTTTAAGGACCACTGTAGTGCCAGGAAAACACTGGTTTTCCTGGCACTATAGTGCCCTGAGGGTGCCCCCAACCCTCAGGGTCCCACTCCCGTGGTGCTGAAGGGGGAGGAGGGGTTAATCCCTTATCTTTTTTCCAGCACCGGGCTCCCTCGGCACTGGGACTCTCCTCCCTTTTCTTCCGTCATCGGCTGAATGCGCATGCGCGGCAAGAGCTGCGCACGCATTCAGCCAGTCTTATAGGAAAGCATTATCAATGCTTTCCTATGGACGCTGGCGTCTTCTCACTGTGAAAATCACAGTGAGAAGCGCGGAAGCGCCTCTAGCGGCTGTCAATGAGACAGCCACTAGAGGCTGGATTAACCCATAGGTGTTTACTGCAAAAAGGGTTAAACCTAGCTGGACCTGACACCCAGACCACTTCATTAAGCTGAAGTGGTCTGGGTGCCTATAGTAGTCCTTTAAAAGAAGATATCTCACTGGAGCCTCCAGTGTAATGGTAATCACTTACAGGCATGTTGGTAGATGCAGACTTAGAAGAAGAATTGGTGGACTACATCAGGGGTGCCCAAAAGGTAGCTCCCCAGATGTGTTTGAACTACAGCTTCCATGATGCTTTGTCATTCTAAAAGCATCCTAAAATCATGGAATGTATCATGAATGTTGTAGTTTTACAACATCTAGGGATCTTCTTTTTGGACATCCCTTGGCTAAAGGATTTTCATTTTCATCTCCTATGCAAAGTGATGTCAAATGATGTCATGTTGTCATTTGTCTCTATAGGCAAGCCAATCACACAGTGGCGTACACACAATACATGGGGCCCCGGTACGAAACTGATCCGTGGGCCCCCCTCGATCCGTGCCCTCCCCCCCCCGACACATACATACAGACATACATAGAGGAACACGCATTCACACAGACACATACATACATACAGACACACATACAGAGACACACATACACACAGTTTGTATGTGTGTGTCTTTATGTATGTGTGTGTGCGCCTCTATGCATGTCTGTCTGTGTGTATGTCTGTGTCTGTATGTATGTGTGTGTCTCTGTATGTATGTATCTGTATGACACAGATACATACATACAGACACATAAACATACACATACATACAGACATACACATACAAAATGTTTGTCACCCTCCCGTTTCCTACCTTTTGCAGGAGGGTGACTTCCCTGGGGTCCAGTGTGAGCTCAGCCTGATGGGAGTCAGAGTTCCCACTCTGACTCCCTCCTCCTTCCTCCCTTGCGGCTCTGCCAGTTAGCTAGGAGGAGTGACGTGCAGTCACTTCCTCCCAGTTCAGTCTGGCATCATCACAGGGGACCCGGTCAGCGCTGACCGGGCCCCCTGACAATCTGTCTCCATTGGGAGGCCCTGACAGCATGGGCCACCCGATGGACCCTTTAACATTCGGCCCGCGCGACAAAGCCGCAAAAGATGGTGGCAGCTGGTACCCGGTCGCAGGGGTCCGCAGGGCAGCCGGGCCCCTTGGAGTGACGGGCTGGGTCGCAGCTGCGACCCCTGCGACCGCGGTATGTACGCCGCTGCACTCACAAAATGTTTGCTTCTGCGACCCATGAATAGGACAATGCATACATTCTAACCGTTCAGCTCTACCTGGGGTAAAGGAAACTTTATTTTACCATTCTTCAATGACCTATTTTAAAATATTAAAAAAAGTTACAAAAACCTGAAACCATTTCCTTTGCTAAATATTCATAAAAAGACAACATACAATACAATGCTGGCAAGTAATTTTATATTGTGAGAATAAAACCCGCAGTCAATTATTTTCAGATGTGAGGTTTTTACGGTGGAAGTAGATTAAAAAAAAAGCTGAATATTTCTATGCAAATGATTCTTCTATTGTAGTTCCTATAACAATGTATAGTTCCATTTCTCCCTGAAGTGCACTGATCCTTTAGAATTTCTGTCATAGACACCGATTCGTGAAATGTATTTTATGAATGTTTGGTGTGAACCCAGTTTAAAGTGCTCTTGATATTTGTTGAACATTAGAGTAGCTTAATCAATTTTATTAATTCAAGCCCACAAACATTTGACATTTAAAAGCTCACGGACAAAGGATTCAAAGGTGATACTTCTTTAACACACTAAAGGTTGTTTGAAAATGGGATTTTATTAAGAGTGTAAATTATCATTGTGGGTAGAATTTGAGGAATAATTTACTATATTATGAAAGTATATGTATGTATTTTTACTTTCAATCCTTTATAATTGGTGTGTGCACAGCCTTTACTGGAGTTGTGAGTTGTGTCCATTATTTTTTGCCTAGATTACGTGTTTTTAATAAAACTAGCAAAATCTGTCAGCACCAGTCTAGATTTTTGGCTATTGTACATTCAAGAAATTCCTGGAATTCACTAGATAACGTTGTGATTTTATATTGAATCTCATATGGTAGGATTTACAGGGTTATTTACCAAAGCGAGAATTCAAAATGGATTTCAAATTTAAAGTCAAAATAGCTGAACTGGTCATTGGTCACTTTTAAATTCTCATTTTAGTAATTAACCCTCTATGTCTCTGGAGGGCAAATGCAACATAACATGGGAACATAGCAACAGGTTTACACAACACTTTGACAGTGACAACATTGTCTACATTTCGGTTTTACAATAGCATTGCATTTGAATACTCATTTTATGTAAAAACAAACAAATAAACAAAACAAAAATAAAAATAAACTGTTTGTTTTGAAAAGCTGTGTAAATGTCAAGACTAACTTTTTTTGTCAGCTGAATATGTACAGATTGCTGCAATATGCCGATGCCTATTTTAAGAGAATTAATGAATTGATTTGCGTAGTATACCAATGCCTATTTTAACAAAATGAAATAATCAGTACTCTTTCATGCAGTGACTCAGTCGGAGAAATGTCTATTATTTGATACTATGAAAATTAAACATTTTGTCAGTGACAACAGATTCACTCTCAATTGAAAAGGACAACGAATTCCATTACCCTTGTTCTGAAAAGCCGCCCGTGAGTTATGTATTCAACAAAGCCGTGCTACATTTAAAATGAAAAATTTGAATGTTAAAGAAATTAAATGCACAATTGTATGTTTGTGTCACCTAATTTACTATTAATGATCACCTTACAAGTAGCAGGGGTTATTCATGGCAATATACAAAGGTTTTATTTAATATAGGTTGAGCAGGTCTTTTTTTTAAAGGGATTCTCCAGTGCCAGGAAAACATATTCATTTTCCTGGCACTGCAGGACCCTGGAGTGCCCTTCTACCTCCCACCCCCCATCCCAAGTTGCTGAAGGGGTTATAACCCCTTCAGTGACTTACCGGAGTCCAGCGTCAATGTTCCTCGGCGCTGGGTCAGGCTCTGCCTATTCACCTCCCCCACCAATGTCAGCCAGCGCGGGAGACCTAATGCTCATAGCGTGAGGACGTCCAGCGTCGGTGAAAACACTTTTTGTGTTCGATGAACACGGAAGTCCCTCTAGTGGCTGTCTAGTAGACAGTCACTAGAGGAGGACTTAACCCTGCAATGTAAATATTGCAGTTTATGAATACTGCAATAATTACACTTGCAGGGTTAAGGGTAGCGGGAGTTGGCACCCAGACCACTCCAATGGGCAGAAGGGGTCTGGGTGCCTGGAGTATCCCTATAAAGGGGTGCTTGGTACACCATAACCACTAGAACTCTGTGAAGAACTAGAAGGCAAAATCTCTAATTAGACAGAGAGGGGTATTTTTGTAAACCCCTATAAGCTTATTAACTCTTAATAGATCACACATGGTGTGAGATGCGGAGGTGGATTTGACTTTAATATTGCAGAAATACAGCAGAGGAGGGTGAGTGTCTTGGTGTCAGAGGAATAGCATTCACATGGTGGAAGGAAAGCTGCAGAATGTTAATTCACCATAACCACTGCAGCTCAGTGTAGTGGTTCTGATAAACATTATATCTTTAACATTGTAAAAGTAGCCATTAAAGGAACACTCTAAGCACCATAACCACAACAGCTAATTATAAAGGTTATAGTGCTGGGGGTTTAGGAGCTGTGGGTTTTTTTTTTTCTTTGACAAAAAAAGAGCACAGTGTCTTTCCTGCTGCATAGTTTACAGGTGAGACCTTCCCACATCTTGGTTCTACTCATACGAGCAATCTGAAATGTCAGGTGTTCTGCACAAGACGCAGATTGACTCCTTGTAATCATTTTAGATTCTTGTCCTTATCAGTAATGCTTGGTTCTCTAGATTCAGTGTGTGGCAACTACCAAACCCTTACTGCTGAAAGCAAGAGTTCAAAACAGGATTACTCCAAGATTTGGGAGAGCTAAGAGTGTTCCACTAAGCAAAGACCTAAATATAGACCATTACCAAGAAAGAACAAAAAACGATAATGGGTAAATTTTTTGTCAGTAGCCAAGATTCAACTCATCCATTCAAATAGTGACTATAGATTCATGTGATTTATAGAAGACACGTTCTACTGCATATCATACTGTTAAATGCAGAATATACACAGATAAAGAATTGTTGAAAAATTATATTTACTGCTAAATCCTTTAAATCAATCTGGTTAAAAACTCACTTTGGCTCGTGGAGTTTCCAAGAGATCAGCTGCAGTCAGAACAATTAGAAAATGAGTGCCATGAGTACAGGAGATGAAACAGACGTCACTTATTATATCTTTGGATTGTTCATATTCAGTCATACTTATCAAAGCCATTTGCATATATAACCAGTGATAGTTAAAAGTGCAATTAGAAATCACAAACTGTGCAAGAAATCATTACAATTGCTTTATTCTCTTTAAGTGGTTACAAATACTGATGATTGAAATAATGTACTACTAATGAGAAAATGAAGAATTGCGTAACTATAAAGATTGCATTCTTGTTGATCAAAGCATCAGTATATCTGTTATATTTGAAAGTCTATTTGTAGTCCCCTGTGATGACAATTTGTGTTGCTTCGACTGCGTGCAGGGAAGCTGAATGGAAATATGTGACAATGAAGACTCTATGAAGGTTGATAGGTCAGTTGGTTAATGGTTTAAATTATAATAATTCTTTAAACTGCTGCAGACTGACTGTAGAACGGTATAGTTGCTCTTACTTGATATCTATAGCTGTTTTAGAATGGTTCGACTTTTTAGCTGGGGTCTGCCAGGTGTTGCTACCCATCTCTACTACGTTAATGAGCTCATTGACCCAGAGCATCTCTGATCAATGAGCCAATGAGCTCAGCCTGGCACTGCTGGGCTTAGCTTGGGGAAAGATCTGTCGGATTTCTGGCTGAGGTGGTGGGGGCAATACTTAATTTTTTATATTATCATATTAAGATTATTCATATTATTAATAATTCCATTATAAAGACCATTTAGTTCATCTAATTTGTTTCCAGAATCTGTTTGTGCCTACCAAATATCTGACTATGTAATCCATCTAATCTATCTATCAAGCAAATCTATCCGACCCATCTATTTGATCTGTAGAAGATATAGAAACATAGAATGTGAAGGCAGACAAGAGCCATTCGGCACATCTAGTCTGCCCATTTTTTTACTACTTGCATTAGTCTCATGTAGGATACCTTATGCCTATCCCAAGCATGCTTAAACTGCCTCACTGTGTTAACTTCTACTACTTCAGCTGGAAGGCTATTCCATGCGTCCACTACCCCATAGGCATGCACAGGGGGTGTGCCGAGTGTGCCTGGGCACATCCTAATCCCTGCGGCATGCCTTTGGATTGAGACCGACCGCAACGTTATGCGAGCGCTGGCTCTGCTCTAAGCCTCCATGGGCTGGTGGGGAGATCAAAGATCTCCTGCACCGGCCCACAGCAGCATGGAGGGAGGCAGGAGAGGACCCGGGGAGCTCTAGCCAGCAGCTCCGCCAGGTTCCTAGTGAACTCTAGCCCCGCAGACCACCAGGTATGGCACATGGCAGCAAGGATCCCCCTCCCTACATAAGGTAAGAAGGGAGTGGGGATATTTACTAATCTGCCCCCACCTCCACCCCCACAATCCCTCCAAACATACAGCATACACACACATACAGCACCCTCACACACACAGCACCCTCACACTACCCTCACACAGCACACTAACAGCACACACACACAGCGGTGTATGTATGTATGTATGTGTGTGTGTGTGTATATGTATATATATATATATATATATATATATACACATATACACACACACACACATACATACATACATATACATGCGGCGTGTGTGTATATACATATACATGCGGCGTGTGTTTGTGCTTTAGGGTGCACACCATATGCAATAGGCTGTTCACGCCTATGCACTACCCTCTCTGTCAAGTATTACTTCCTGATATTATTTTTAAACCTTTGCCCCTCAAATTTAAGACTATGTCCTCTTGTGGTAGTTTTCCTTCTTTTAAATATAATATCCTCCTTTACTGTGTTGTTTCCCTTTATGTATTTAAATTTTTTATCTTTTCTCAAAGATTTACATGTTAAGATCCATATAGATATGTAATATATCTGATCAATTTATCAAAACTATTTAATCTTTCTGATTGATTCATCTAAACTGTCTAATGTATCTAACCATCAGATACATAGATCAGATAGGGGAGATCTATCTATCTCACTAAGCAAACCTGACCTCTTCTGAATTATCCATGTCAACTAATTCCATTGTATCTTTAACAGAGTACTGTTGTATAACAATACTTATGTCTCCTAAATTACAACTGTGAACAATTACTTATTTAAGGGGTAAGATATAAACTCAATATAGCTATGTAGGTCACTTGCACATGTAACACTGCTTCTGAGACATGGATAATACATCAAAGGGAACTCCATCCAGCCTGCCATGTAAATCCAGCAATATTGAGGAAAATCAAAGGAACACTATAGTCACCTAAATTACTTTAGCTAAATAAAGCAGTTTTAGTGCATAGATCATTCCCCTGCAATTTCACTACTCAATTCACTGTCATTTAGGAGTTAAATCACTTTGTTTCTGTTTATGCAGCCCTAGCCACACCTCCCCTGGCTATGATTGACAGAGCCTGCATGAAAAACAAAAACTGGTTTCACTTTCAAACAGATGTAATTTACCTTAAATAATTGTATCTCAATCTCTAAATTGAACTTTAATCACATACAGGAGGCTCTTGCAGGGTCCTGCAAGCTATTAACATAGCAGGGGATAAGAAAAGCTTAATTAAACAGAACTTACAATAAAGAGAGCCTAAATAGGGCTCCCTTTACAGGAAGTGTTTATGGAAGGCTGTGCAAGTCACATGCAGGGAGGTGTGACTAGGGTTCATAAACAAAGGGATTTCACTCCTAAATGGCAGAGGATTGAGCAGTGAGGCTGCAGGGTCATGTTCTATACACCAAAACTGCTTCATTAAGCTAAAGTTGTTCAGGTGACTATAGTGTCCCTTTAAATTAACAGTGGTGCATGAAATATGGTATGTCAGGCTGTTCCAAACATCTTTCCTCTCCAATGTTTCTTAATTTTAAAGGAACAGTCCAAGCACCATAATTCTAACATTGGCCTGTAGTGGCTATGGTGCCAGGATAGCCCTGCTACCTCCACCCAATATAAGTAGTCAAACCATTTAGCAGTGGACTGACTTCTTACCAGAGGTTTTACAGGGGCCACTTCCCACCTACTCTCAGCCAAAACTGAGAGCTGGGTGGAAGATCCTGCTAGGAGCTTCCATTAGCTCTCCTAAGTTCAGTCCGGCCATGGACTGAGAGGCCGTTGGCTGAGAGCATTAGCTGATCGCTAAGAACTGCAGTGCCTGATGATCCCCAGGTAAAAAGTCAAACCGTTCCATTCCCTTTAAAGCCACGTTCCCTTTAAAGCCATAGTTTTTGAGATTCAGTATTCATATTGAATTCCCAACCGTTAACACTTTGCTATATAACCCTGTAGCATTCATGAAATGAATTTGATTTGAGTGCATATCAACTTGTAACACAAAGGCTACAAATTATCAATGTTTTCTGAATGAAGACGACAAGAAATTGGTACATTTCCTTTCTAATAGGAACAAAGCGTTTATGTTAAAATTGCTGCTATTTCCTTCAAGCATCTATTTTGTTTATTTCTTCTTATTGGCAGTCCCTTAGCCTTTATTTTTCTACCTTCAGCACAAATTGCTTCAATACAAGATTATCATCAGCATTTAAGAATATAACATTTACGCTTGGGTAAGAACTTGTTTATCTGCTTTTTCGAAAATATTTTAAAATCTTAAATGTATGATTTATGTAATGTAAGATAGTGTGGATGCAGCTCTTTTGTGGCTTTATATTATTATTATTAATGAACTTATATTAACTTTTAAATATATCAACCTGTTTTTTACTTTATACAAACATTTAGAAATTCCCCCCAGTGTATTCATTAAACTGAGAATGAATTTGGTAATTCCAATTTTAAAAAGAAAATAGCTGAAATTGTATTTTAATTTGCTTTTTTTGCCTCGAACCTGCAAGGCTTAGTAAATTCCTGACAATACAGTAATGTGACTAAAATTACTTACGTATAATTGGTAAAACACATTATATAAAGTGTAGAGAAAACATAATGCATTTTTGAGCTATTTATATATTTGATAATTTGGATAGATGGAGTACATGTGCATGGAGTAACCACATTTTGTATCTTAATTTAGATTTAATACACATTTGACAGAGTACACCATGTGCTGCTCTGGATAAAAGGCTCTATACAGTCTGAACCTTTATCCTTAAAGTATCAGAAGTAAAAGACAAAGTGTGCCGATGTATAATAAATATTGCCTTTCAAAAAAATCATGGAAAATTTATTTTTTAAAAAGCTACATTTTTTTTGTTTCATGTTTTTTATAATTTGTCCTTTAACAGCTGTAGTTTCAACAATCTTCAGCAATAACTTGAAATTACTAGTTGGACACTTTAAGCGAAGTTTTAAAGGAAACTGCAAAAAAATAAAAATAAATAGATTGTTTCCATTTGTGTGTACTTTTACTTTAGATTAGAAAATAAAAGGCTAAAAATAAACCCTTTAAATTCACCTGTAAACTGGTATTGAGACTGTCTCGGAAGCCGCTCGACCCATGGTGAGGTCATCCTCACTTATCACTTAAGTCTCCAATGCTTCTCTGTGAGAATATTTAGATAAGGCTCATGTAGTCATGTTCCACCAAGTGGATGCTTCTCATAGAATCCTGCAATCTGGTGCTTTTCTATGAAAAGACTTTGCTGCATTCAGCATCATGCTGTACGGGATGACTTGTGAAGGTCTTCAGTGTGGAAGGGCATTAACTGGCTATCAGTCTGAGCATTCAGTGTCTCAATGCAGAGTATTTAAGGTGCTAAGACTGCAGGGACATACTATAGATACCAGAACCACTTCATTATAGGGAGACTAAAGGCACCCATACCACTTCATTTCATTAAAGTGGTCTGGTTGGGGTGCATTATCTCTGTTCCCTTAACACGGCAATGTAAATCATTGCAGTTTTAAGGCTGCATTTAGTGACTGTCTACGAGACAGCCATTAGAGGAGCTTATTGTACCTTTCTGGAGTTTGCCTTGAGTCAATGCTTTCCTATGAGGAAGGTCTAATGTGCGTGCAGTGGAAGAGGAAAAGCCCGACCCAATGCCAAGGGAGATCAGCGCTGTAATCAGGAAGTGTTTAAAGGATTTTTAATCCCTTTTGTGGCTAGTTGCAGAAGGGACTCAGGGACAGAGGTACACTATAGTATTAGGAATACAGTTTTGTATTCTTAACACTATAGTGTTCCTTAAAGCTGTAGTTGTTCTGGTGATTATACACTTTAACGAGAAAGATTCCAGAAATTGAATCAGATGAACTAAAAAGACATGTAAATGGGCCATCAGTGTCCTGCAAAATAAATGCATCATATAAATATTATGTATACATTTATCAGTATGCTGAAAAACGCATTTTTCCACCATTTGATTTGCAGATAAAGTGAGAAAAAGAAACCAATAGAGGAAAAAAGAGTTAAAATAATGTATGTTTTGTAAACTGCAGCCACACACTGTATATATTACCGAGGATAGAAGCTTTCAATTTCCAAAGCACAAGCAGTGGCACAGAAGCACACTGCAATTTAAACAATCCATCTCTTACTAGAAATATTAAAAATAAAAAAAAATCACAAACCAGTAAAAGCATTCTAAATCCAGTAATAAAATAAAAGCTAGCAGTTTTTTTTTTTGTTTTTTTTTTTTGAATTCACTATATGATGAAGGGTAGGACTGTCCCTGCCAAACCTAAATCTCTCAACTATTATCCCTATTATCACCTGGGGGTTGGTTGTGACAACCGTCCAGAATCAGATGCAGCACTAGTGGACCTACTCCTGCCCTAGTACTTTCTTGTTCTGCTTCTGCCCCTCAGCAATACAGACTTGTGGTATCTTTTGTAGATGCTACTTCATACCGACATTAGGGAGATGAACCTTTCCACACCTCCTACTCCATTGCTGCACAATTTGAACTTTGAAAGTTAACCTTCTTGGAGGCAATCACTGGTGGGATGCATTAGCCCCCACCCCTTGTGGCTGATAAAAAAAATGCAGATGAATTGCATCAGTAGCAGTGGAAGCTGTCACAACACTAGCCTGCTAATAGAAATGTTGATGGTGCCAGTACAAGTGATGTTGATGGTTTTGGTATTGATGGTAATATTGACAGTCTGTGAGCTACTTGTGCTAGAATTAGCAGGTGCAGCTGATTTCAAAATTGTCTTCATTGGATGAGGCATTTGCAGATGCTGGAGAAAATATTGGGCTGATGGCTGTCCTCTCCACACTCTACTTTTCTAATTCCACTGGCTCATCTAGTTGAGCATTTCTTGGGCCAGAGGTAAAAGGGATATGTCTGCATTGGTGTCTTCACTGGATTCATTACTGCCACCAACATCAGACATTGGAGACATTATGTTGGTACTCTGCACATCACTAAAGAGTGGCTCTGATGACCCCCACAAGGTAGACGTTTCTGCACTCTCTTAGTTGTTTCTTGAGGGGGCACTAAGAAACTAGAAGAAGCTGCAGAGTCAATGTAAGCAGAAGCACACATTGTTACAACATGAAATGGATGGGCAAAAACAATTGCCGCTTGGCTGTTGAAATTGATATAATGGGCATTTTGCTAATCCTACTATATTGAGGCTGAATTCTAGTAATAGTGGTGGTAGTAGCGGTAGTGTTGGA